AATTATCTTTCTGAGATAAGAAACTACTGTTCTCCTTTTACTTTTAAACTTTAAATTTTATTATCCCACAGAATTTTTAAAGCTTTGTCCAGAGTACAGAAGCATGACACTTACTAGCTGTGTGACCCTGGGCAAGTCACTTAACCCCAATCACTTCATCAAAAAGCAAAAAACCAAAACAAACAAAACCAGAATACAAAAGCACGATTTAGGTTTTAGAAATTTACTTTGAAACCTTAGAGATACCAATTTAGCAGCTAGTCCTGAAGAATGTTGCCTTTTTAAATAACAACTAGGGGGTTGCAGATCTTTAATTGTTCTAATTCTCAATAGCTGGGGTTTTTAACCTGGATCCAGGAACATTTTTTAAAAATATTTTTATAACTGTATTTCAATATATTTGATTTCATTTTTAATTCTATATATTTTATTTTATTCATTTAAAATGCATTATTCCAGGAAGGGACTTAAAGGTTTCACTGGACTGCCAGAAGGAAACATGATAAAAGAAAGCGATTTTCCTAAAGCTTAGAGCTGATTGTCACCTCCATACTTAAACTCTAATGGCTCCATATTGTCTTCCAAGAAAAATCCTCCGTTTGACATTCTAAGCCTTTCATAACCTAGGCCTACCTCCTACCTTTGCAGTTTTTTTATACCTTACTCCCCACCATGTACTCTTTGATCTGGTGACTCTGGCTTTCTTGCTGTTCCACAAATAAAATACTTCATCTCTTGGGTCCGGGAATTTTCTCTGGCCGTATTCCATGCCTGGAATGCTTTTCCTCCTCATCTTTCCCTTGTGGCTTCCTTCAAAACCCAACTAAAGTTTCTTCTTCTACAGATTGTGACCTCCTTGAGGGCAGGGATTGTCTTTTGTGTTGTGTTTTTTTTTTTATCCCCAGTGCTTAGCACAGTGCTTGTCTCATAGCAGGCACTTAATAAATGTTTACTCACTGACAACTGTCTCATAGAGTTGTTGTAAGGATCAAAAAGGATCATCTATGTAAACCTTCAGTTGTCACTGATTACTATTAGTCTAATATAAACTTCGGGGATTCATATATTACTGATATGTGGACCAAATAATTTAAATATTACCAGATTTTATACTTTAAAGGAGAAAGAAATTAATTGAGAGTCTTATTTGTTAGTTATTAGAGTAAAAGGAGATTAAAAATTTAATCCTGATCACCCTGAATGACTGACAGAGGTGGTTAGCCTATTAGAAAAGAGCATTGCATTTGGAGTCAGAGGGCCTGGGTTTGGATCTTAGCTGTTCTACTATTTGACCTTGGTTAAGCCACTTAACCTAACTGGGCCTCAGTTTCCTCACATGTAAAATGACAGTATTGGGTTACATGAGCTGTAATATCCCTTTCTTCTTCCTAGAATGCCACCATATATTTTCTTTTATTCTTCAGTTTGATATGAAATTCATGGTTTCCCCAAACCCTCCAGATTAAAAGCATCATCTGATATTGAGTGACTTTTAGGAATGAGTACAGGCTATTTTGAAATATGACGAGCTTGAGAAGAGGAGAGAGGAGACCTGATATAGCAGATATTGGAACAGTTCAGTTTGCCAAGATAAACCTTTAGTTTGGACAATACTTATGAGATATGACAGCCCAAAGAGGTTTCAGTCTAGGCTTGTTACCTGGTACCTTTCAGAGAAGTCTTTGGTTTGACTACAGACTTATTTTTGAACATTATATTACAGATCAAAATTTTTTTTGATGGAATATTTTTTCTTTAAGTAATATATCTTATCTAGGTCTCCCACTTTGTACATTTTCCCTTTACCAATAGAAGTTATGTTTCTATTGAGAACTTATTTTAATTTTTTCTTTTTCCTTTCTTAAAAGAAGTTGCTATATTTTATGTGAAAACACTGATGAGGTTTAGAGGTTTAGGGGTGCTAGGACCCCGAGATCACAAACTTGGGCCCTGTCTCAATGAATTCAACCCAAATCTTCTTTCAGCCAGAGAAAAAGTTTATTAGAAAGAAACCATACAGGCCAGACTCTTAAGGAATCTGAACATTAGTGATGCTTGTAAAGATGAGCAGGCATGAGAAAGCCTCAGCCTTTAAATGGGGGCCAGGGTGGATCTCATATACACTAAAGTAACTGACCAGAGGAGGGTCTGGGTGACTTAGGGAGAATTCCATTTGAATTGTCTGAGACATTGAATAGACAATAGGAATTGATAATGAAGGGAACTGGAAGGAAGAAGTTTGAAAGGCATCTGAATAAGATTAAAAGGTGGGGCTTGAGCTTTCAAAAGGAGATAAGGGGAGTAGATAAGGAATCCTTTGAGACCCGAGTAAGAAAAGATTAAGGGTTTTCTGGGGCCGGTAGACAAATAGGAGCCGAATTCTTTTTGGTTCAAGGGGCAAAGTTCTCAGCTTGGGCCCATACCCTATCAACCCTAAGTGATAAATCAATAGAAATATTTTGAGTTGTAATGAGTCAATAGTAATCAAGTCGATCAATAACAGTTCCAATTATTTTTTATCAAAAAAGAGCTGCTATAAATATTTATAAATATTTCCACATGTGTAGCTCCTTTTCCTATTTCTTTGATCTCTTTAGGGTATAGAACTAGCAGCAATATCAAAGAGTGTGCACCGTATAATACTCAACAAATATTTATTAAGCCGTTACTATGTACCAAGGCACTGCGCTAGGTTTTTGGACGTAGATACAAATTGCTTTCCAGAATGGCTGGACCAGTTCTCAACTCCACCAACAGTGGAATGTATTAATAATATACCTGTTTCCTCATAGCACATCCAGTATCTGTCATTAACTTTGCTAATCTGGTGGGTATGTTATGGTTACCTAAGAGTTGTTTTAATTTGCTTTTCTTTCATTATTAGTGATATGAGCATTTTTTTCATATGACTCTTGATAGCGTGGATTCCTTCTTCTGAAAATTGCTTATTCATATCCTTTAACCATTTGTCAATTGGGGTAACATATTGACCTTGAAGACAGGATGTGCAGAGACGACTTGATGATTATATAGCTCCCAGAGGAATATGACAAGTCAAAAAACTGAACATCGTAGTGCAAGAAGTAGTACAAGAAAGCTGCTCAGAATTCCTGAATACAGAAAACAATGTACAAATGAAATAATCCATAGCTTGCCTCGAGCACAAAACTTTATGCTGGAATTCAATTGAGGAATGGCTCCTTTTCTTATAAATCTGAATCAGTTCCTTCTATTTTAGAAATGAAACTTTTATTAGAGAAACTTACTGCAAAGATTTTTTCCCTGATTTTCTGCTTCTCCTAGTTTTAGCTGAATTGATTTTGTATCGGTACAAACTTTTAAATTTTATTCAATCAAAATTGTCCATTTTACTTCCTGCGAACCTCTCCCTTATTTGGTCATAAACTCTTCCCCTATCCATAGATTTGATATGTGATTTCTGCCATGCTCCTATAATTTGTCTATGTGTCACTCTTTGTATCTAACTCATATATCAATTTAGAGCTTGTCTTGGTAAAAGGTATGAGGTATAGATCTCTACCTAGTTTCTGCCAGACTACTTCCATTTTTCCTAACAATTTTTGTTGGAGTGATTTCTTGTCCGCCTCAATGCCAGGATCTTTGGATTTATCAAACACTAGACTACTGTGGTAATTTTTTTTTAATATATTGTATACCCAGTGGTCAACATCTCTATTTCTTAACCAGTACCAAATTGTTTTGACGACTACCCTTTTTTCTCACTTTTTTTCATTGCCACTAGTTACTAATATGCAGATTGTATGGATTACAATATCTAGCCATCTAATATATTACATTGGCTCATCTTCTACCTAGACCCATTTATTTTATTCTATCATTTATTTTATTTGATTTTTTTCATGTATTCTTGTCATCCTCTGATAGGAAAAATGAGATTTCTTCATCTTCAAAAAATTCTTCAACTATAAAATGAGGTTTCACTAGATTATTTCTAAGATACTTTCTAGCTATGATAGTCATTGAATTATCATGTTTCAATTAACTTGAGGATTTATACATCATAGCTGCAGTGACATGAATCATTCATTAAGCATTTAATAACCACCTACTTTGTCTCAGACACTGTGGTGGACTCTAGGGATATAGAGATAAAAATGTCCACAGGGAGCTAACATTCTCTCTCGAGGGAAATAGATTCCTTTCCAGGCTGCACTATAGATCTATTCACCATGCTCCAGCTTTTTATCCTGAAATCTCACAGCAGCCCAGGAATTCACACATTAGAAGGATCCTCTACCCCTGCAGCATATCTCTTACATTAGATGGCTCTTCCAGGAACCTCTGTTTAAGTAGGGTACCCAGCCAGTCATGTCTTATTCCTCTTCAGGTTGTACTCCCAACTTCCTCTACCCTTTACCCTGCCTGGTAACTTTGTGGATCTATACCACTGCCCCCTTTTCAGCTTCCTTTTCTCTGTTATCTTCCCAGCATTAGAATGTAAACCACTTGGGGGCAAGGACTATCTTTCTTTTTACTTGTATTTGTATTTCTAGCACTTAGCCTAGCACCTGGCACCTTGTAGCCTTTACTAAACGCTTATCGACTGACCTACTAATGGCTAACAAACAGAACCAACTCCCTTGTTTTAATATTTTAACATTATTAATCATTAATTAATTAATTAATGATTAATTAATAAAATTAGAACATGTCAGAGAATTAATTTCATTTCTTTTTAGCCAGTTTTTAGCCAACTGTCAATTTGTCTTCTTGTTCTTTAGTAATTTCTGTAAGCAAACTGAGCAGTAAAAGAACATATAGAATTAAATATATTGTATCTGTACTAAAAATGCTGTCAACTGAGGATGAATTTTTTCTTTATAAAGATATACTTAATAGAAACAATTTGCCTTACGGTCATTTGCCCACTTTGTGCAAAATAAACAATACATTCTTTCCCATCTCATTCCCAACCCCCCAGCCCCCACCCAATTGAAAATCTCTGGTTCTATTTTCAGCTTTGCAAGAATACAAAATCTGAAGCAGTGATGAAGGATCTATATGTTGAAAATACTCACCTGTTAAAAACTTTAGAGATTACTGAACAACAGCAGAAAACAGCAGAAAAGAAAAGCTATCTTTTGGAAGAGAAGATTGCAAGCCTCAGTAATATCATCAGGAATCTAACACCAGCACCAATGATTTCTGCACCTCCTCTCAGGTCATAAATGAGCCATAAAATCTACATACAAGAATATATACACTATACTAAAATATAACATTTCAGTAGGATATTCCTGTCCCTTTCCTCTCCCTTCTCATGCTTAGGGTATGATTATTTTAATTTTAATTTTCAGTTAGACAGTATAAATTACTGCTACTACAATAAGAAGTATGAAAGCCCTGAGTGCTTCTAAAATGTGACAAGTTAAGAGGAAACATCCTAAACTGAAGTGTTTGCTAAAAGATAAAAGGGAAATCTCAGCATCTTACACAAATTTTTTTAAAATCGGTCCTTTTCGGAGTTGAGAATAGTTTTACTCTGTGGTTTGAATTATTTCTAAACCTTGAATTCAATGTATTTTAAAAAAATATTGTCTTTGTGGTCACCCTTGATGAGATGAAATCCTAATTTCATATGAAATCAAGCCAAATTAAAAACTTAAAACCCCTTTTAGCCAATTTTTTAAAAAAATTTAAATCTGTACAAAGAGTAATATGAATGTAAACTCTGATTATTTCAAGTTTGAGGGCTTGTGAAAATGGTTAAAAATAAAAGTATTACAAATATGTGCGTGTGTTTTTTCCCCTGAATCTGTGTATGAAAACAGTATTCACTCTTCTGCTGTATTGTTCCGCCTTATGTTTAACTGAAAAGATAGGACCCACTAAGGATAGAAAAACCTAATAGAGCTCTGCCTTCTAACTACTCATTAAACATATCATAGATACTGAATTAAATTATTAATTATAATACAACGTTGAGTATTTTAAAAACTGTAATTACTTTAAATATCTTTTTCCACTCTATTAGAATTTTTTTTGAAGTTGTCTCCTAGGAACTGGACAAAGCCACTTCTTTATCTTTTTTTTTAATTCTTTAATTTAAATTATCAAGAAAGCTGTGAAATAATCTTTTAATTTATTTAAGGTCAACCTCTATTCTTAGAAACATAATAAGCTACCCAAATAGCTTTTAAAAAAATTCTCACTTAGCTTTCAGTTAATAAAGTTCTGAGATAAACTTAAGAATTCTAACTTAAGATACTTTAAACTTACTTCCTGAATGACTGTGTACCCTCTTTATAATTTGAAATATATAAAACCTTATGACCTTATTACTGATGTGTGTATGTGTGTGTGTGTGTATATATATATATATATATACACACACATATATATATAAACATGTCATTCATATATATACATATATGTGTGTATATATATTATATATGTACATATCTATAATATTATATATATGTACATATTTATAAATGACATATGTTTGATACTTTACCAAATGATAGCATTTATGACTTCATAGGTAAGTCCTAGGACAGTTATCTCAGACTCAGAAAGCTTAAGTCACTTGTCCAAGGTCACTCAAGAAGCTTGCCCCCAAAGCAGGTATATGTAGGAGACAGGATTTGAACCCAGTATGTGGTATATGTCCAAGATGGGATTTGAATACAGGTCTTCCTTACCTCAAATGGAATACTATATCATACTGCCAGGCTGCCCGTAGAATCGCAACAGGCTGTTTATATAGTCCTGTTTATACAGTGCTTTAAGTTATTATATTATCATTCTCCCCCCCCCCCCATGAGAGATCATCCCCAGAAACTTAGTTGCCCAGATATAGGGATTTTTGGTCACAGCCACTTACAAAGACCATCTGCTGAGGCATAAAAGGGTTGCAATCTGTACTGATGGAGGAACAGATCATACTGATGCAATCACAGATCCCTGAAGGTTTCAAGGTTTTTTTTTTAAACAGTTGAGGAAGCTGAGGCTAAAGAAGTAAAGTGCCTTAAGCAGTTATACAATTCATCTTGTCTGAGAGCCAAGACTAGATCCAAGATGCCTAACTCCTTGTCTGTCCATGTTCTTTCCACTGGACTGGAAATGGGAGGGGAAGGAGAGAAGTGGGGATATAAAGATGTAGGATCATAAGACCATCAAGAGCAGGAAGGGTCTGCAGAGGCCATATAATCCAACGTCCTCATTTTGCAAATGAGAAAACTTTCCCAAGGTCACATGGGTAAACAACAGAGGCAGGATTTGAACCCAATCAGTGCCTTTTCCCTTGTGCCACATTTGTCATATGTATGCATGTATGTGTGTGTGTATGTGTGTATGCCTAACTATATGTATGCATGTGTGCCTGACTATATGTGTGCATGTGTGACTGTGTATTTATGCATGTATATGCTTGATTGTATTGTGTATTCATGACTGTATTGTATATGCGTGTATGTATGCATAACTGTATTATGTGTGCCTGTATGCATCTAGGTATCCTATTTTATGCATGTATATGCCTGACCGTATTGTGTATGCATGGCTATATGTATGTGTAACTATTTGTATATATGCGTGACTTTTATATATTCATGGGTGTATGTATGTATGCATGACTGCATTGTTGCCTAACTGTATGTATATATGGCTATATATGTACATATGCTTGACTTGACTGTATTATGTTTGCATGTCTATGTATATATTCATGATTGTATTATGTGCGTATACTTGTATATATGTGTACAGGTATTATACATGTCATACACGCAGATATATGCCTATATTTCATAATGGGGGTCAAAAGTTTAGTCTAAGGCTAAAACTAGCACAGCCTGTAGTAATATTAGTGCTTGATATGTGCAGAGAGCTGGGAAGTTCTTCCAAGCCATCCAGGTATTTTAATAGGTAGATTTAAAAAGTACATGCACCAAGAATTCCCATCCAGTATCCTAGATGTAGCAGCAAAACCAAACTGCTCTGTGAAGGCACAAACCTAGAGTCTGAACTGTACAGATAAATGAATCCATACAACATGTAGGTTTTATATAGGTATCCCTGTGGAGAGAGAGGGAGACAGAGAAGGATAGACATAGAGAGAGAAACTTAAGGCTCATAAAAGAAATATTCATTTTAGAATCTTAAAGTTAGAAGAAAGCTTTACAGGTATCTAGTGTACCCTTCAATCCAATGAAGAAATTCTTTGTCTATTAGATACTTCTCCAGATTGTTTGAATGCTTGTGATAATGATAGTCCACTCTGCAAGACAGCCCATTCCATTGACAGATAGATCTTTTTATTAGAAAAATACTGTTTGAGGCAACATCTACCTCTTTTTAATTTTTACCCATTGATGCTGTCTCTTAGAGTAACACAGAGAAATCTAATCCTTCTTCCACATAACAGCCTTCTAATATTTGACAACATTTTCACATCTTCACATTTTCCAGGCTAAACAAAATTTCCTTCAGACTCCTGTCACGACTTCCAGAACATTCTGTATTAGCTTTTATTCCAGGATGGTAGACACTTGAAAATAGAGTTGACTCTGATGAAGGCTTAAAGGAGATTGAATTTGCATGATGCTCACATGATGATTTTCAAGATCAGTCAAGGTCTTTATCATTGAACTTGGCTTACTATATAGATATCACCTAGTCCTGTCATTTCTACCTCTGGGAGATCCCTACATGTGCCTCCTTCTCTCCTTCGATACCACAATCTCTCTGGTGCAGGTCTTCAGCACCTCATGACTAGACTACTGCAGTGACCTTACAGTTGGTCTCCCTGCCTCAAGTCTCTCCCCCCTCTATACCATCCGTCCCCTAGATGCCAAATTGATCTTCTTAAAGTACAAGTCTGACCACTGCATCACTCCCACTACTATTCAATAATTTCCAGTCATTCTCTATTTCTCCAAAATAATATAAAATCCTGTTTGACTTTTAAATCCCATTGTAACCCAGTCTCTTTCTACCTTCCCTTCTTCTACCTTATTCTCTTCCACATATTCTGCAATACAGTGACAATGACCTCCTTGCTCTTCCTAACATAAGAATCACTCTCTCAGTCCTGAGAATTTTCACTGGTTGCTCCCTATGCCTGGAATTCTCTCCCTCCAGCTCTTGCTTTCTTTAAGTCTCAGTGAAAATCCTTCCATCTACCTTTCCCAGTCCTCATTAATTTCAATGCCTTCTCTCCGAGATTATCACCAATTTAAGTTTGTACTGTCTTGTTTGTATATGGTTGCTAACATGTTATCTCCCCCATTAGATTGTAAATCCTTGAGATCAAGGACTGTTATTTTGTCTTCCTTTCTATCCCCAGGACTTAGCACAATCTCTGGCACATAACAGGTGTTAATAAGTGTTTGTTGACTTGACCTCCTATTTATACCTTTCTGCATCAGAGGGCATATTACAGATGATTTTCTTCACCTTCTATCATTCTTTTACGTGTGTTTATGTGGGTACACACATATGCATATACATGTATGTATATATACACATACATGTGTGTGCACACACATATATACATGCATATGTACTTTAAAATTTATATAAATAGTATTTCCTAAAAAATTTTAGAAAACTTTAAGAATCACTTTGTCAAACATTAAAATACTGTTAATTTGAGGGCAATCAATGTAAATTTAACTAGAATCTGGCCATTTAATTCCTTGTATTGTTTGCCTACAAGAATGTAACAAGGGGAGCCCTACATGAGAAATGTTGTACAGAAGCATTTGTCTTTGATTTTAAACATTTGCACAGCAGCTTCTAGTTATGAAATTTCCATCCATGAGTTACTATACGAAGAATATTAAGGGGCAGCTAGGTGGCACAGTGGCTAGAGCACCAGCCCCAAAGTCAGGAGGACCTGAGTTCAAATCCAGCCTCAGACCAAACACTTGACACTTACTAGCTGGGTGACCCTGGGCAAGTCACTTAACCCCAACTGCTAAAAATATACAAATAAATAACAGAGAATACTAAAATGTATTGAATGAATTAAAATCGAACTATTGAATTTTAATGTCTAGTTTTTGTCTTTAGACTTCTGAAAGTAGAACTTAGCCAAGTTACAAGACTTATGTGTATTTTTTAAATAATTTCATAGCATGTTTATCAAAAAGATTTTGTTTACCAAATTTCCCCTCTGGGTTCTAAAAATTAATTATTTTGAAGACCAAGGATAAAATCTTTGTTCCTATGGGCCCATGTAACTATAGTTTTCAATGACATTTACTATTACAATAGTAAAGATCAAATTCAACTTTTAAATCTAACTTTCATAGTGTCATTTTTAAGGGAAAAGGCTAGGCTTGTACTTGTGATATCCATATATTCCATTAAGATAAAAAAAAAATTCATCTGTTTTATTTCTAGTTGTAAAAAGCCTGAAATTATAAGCTTTTCTTTGGAGGAAATTTGCCACAATGGATTATATAATTTTAATTACCTTCATGGAAACAGTGTTTTATGTACTTGCATAATACTTTATATGTGAAATTTTCTGAGAAATTTTACATGGTTTGCTTGTATATTATCCTAACCACATTTAAGGTAATTATATAGGGAACAGATATTATTTAAAAATGTCTTTTAAAAGTATAAGTCAAGTTATGCTAATTTTATATAGGTAAAGATTTGTATTAATTTTTAGCATCTTAATAATTTGTATCCTAGTCTTTCTATATTATAAAATGAAAGAAATTTAACAAATACTTGCAATTCAAATATGTTAATTTTGTAAATAATGCTCTTTT